CAAATTATAATATTAGGCTGATGACACTTATTGTTCAAAGTGTTAACGTAAATCATTTATTAATGTAGTAAAATTATAGTTCGTATCTTCATTGTTTTCAAGTTCTAGCTTTTTTGAATCAACTAAACACAGTAGCATTATTAGTCGACTGTTTTTAAAACAAAACGTCTTGTTTAAACAAATATGAAAAATTTAATAGAGCTGTAAGATAAAATAGTTCTTAAAAAGTATTTTTAATTATGACGTTATATAAAACATAAAAAAGAAAAATATTTTTTCAATTGAAGTGTAAAGACAAACAGCACTTACGACATATTTTTTAATGCATTATTTGTATTATATAAATTATCAATTTTTCTTCCAATTAAATTTATGTACGCAAAAAATAGGCACACTGTATCAAGTGGATAGTAACGTTGAAACGTTAAACTTTTCAGTTGAACGATATTTATTTGCTTTTGGAATACTGATCATTAAACTTACTATGTATAAAAATGTAATTATGTAATTAAGTATTTTAATATTCCGTATATAGTACAAATCGAAATTCTACACAAATAATCTATAAAATAATATTTTGAGTACAATTTTCCTCGAGCCTATCCCATACCAAGTGCAAAAGGGGCAATGAACCAGAGATCATAATACAAGTGTCGAATTTTTCAGTGAACTTTGTTGTTCCATAAGATTAAAAAAGATTTTGAAAACTGAAATATCTGGAAGTGGCGATTTTTCTCGTAAAAAATCGCCAGTTCCGTCTGACATACCTTTCATTAAAGTTGACATTAAAAAACTACAAAATAATCAAATATGAAATTATTATTTTTACACTTAAACATTCTTCTTATAAGTATTGAACATAAAGTAATATTTAACAGATTGTAATGTCTATTATTCATAATTTGCCAATTATTCTTTGGTACTTCAAACCGTTTATCTGGTGTAGAGAAAGTTAGTATATGAAAAACAGACAATTATTTATTGTGACATTATCACAATGCGGAGCTGCAATTTTTAACTTTAGTAGTAATTTCCTTAATTTAAAATATAATAATGTTTCTCATTTCAAACTAGTAATGACTTGCCCTAGTACAACATACAATACTTCTTAGCAATATAATCGTCTATCCACCTTGTTTTAATGATATTCAAGTAACAGGTTATGTAACACTTCATATTATCTTCGTCTTCTTCCACAAGAAATGCAGACCATGTTACAAAACAAGTAAAAATAATCTCACGAAAATGATTCAGTAATTTACATAACGTGCATTTCGAAAACGATTTAAACGTTTGTTAATTACCATAAAATTTTTGAAAAACGTGTATCATTAATTTTTAGACTAACTTGGCTTATCAACAATACAGCATATTTCAGCTAAAATCTAATTATTGTTTTTCTACCATTTCGTGCGTTTGATTGTAAAAGCGAAACGTGAAGCAGTTTAACTCTCTACTACTAAATATAATGTAAATATTCAATTTGGCAGAATCCTTAAAATACAGAATAATTTTACATATATTTTCTCAATAAAAAAGCAGAGAAGAGACAGAATGTAGCCTAATAAAAGTAACAGAAAGGGGCTGATGACATCTTTGATGAATAATTCATGAAATTCTGCATCTCTGTTTGTTCTAGAATGTTCAGCATAATCGATTTTCTCGATGATTCCAAATTCGAATATTCGACAAGTTCTGAAAAATAAAATTTTAATTTTTATACTTAAGTGAGAAATTATTGGACTACAATTTTGACAAATTGTAAACTTATAAATTTCAAGTGTTGTTTGCCTGTCTAAATGTCTGTCTGACTGTCTTTCCTTAATATCAAGAACGCAAATCGACAGGTAAAAAGAAAGGACCAGATATGGAAACAACGAGTGCAGGATGCCTTGATCAACCGTTCAAAATCTGCTAAAACATAACGAAACTCATGTTATTTCAATTTAAACCTATATTTCTGTAACTTGTTAGATAGTCAACTGGAACGACTGTGTTATTAAAAAAAAACGTATGATGTACAGAACAGGAGCAAGCCACTACTTTCAGATAAAGAGGGTATATTCTATATTACATAAATTGAAGATAAATATGAATATTAAAGAATAACTTAGATACTATGTGATAAAAATTTCAGCACTGCATTATGACGATGACAATACTTTGCTGAAACTTTTTATCATACTTTTAAAAAATTTTATTTAAAATCCATGATCTCCGTTACAGATTTGTAATGTCTTATCTTTATATTTCATACTTTTCCTCACAGAAATGAGCCGTGATAATCATTTAACGAACTTTTTCATGGCATCTCACGTATTTTAAGTTTAAAACAGGATGTTTTTATTTAGAGGGTCTGGTCTTTCTCCTCGTACGCTATACAAATCTGGTTTTGACATTTATCTTACTAACACCGTTCTTAAGATTAAAAGAAGACAGTGAGATAGATACACGGATGACAGTGTGAATTTACAAGTACAGTAGAATCTCGATTATCCGACTCAATTGGGGACTGGGGTTGGTCGGATAATTGAAAAGTCAGATAACCGAAAAGTATGAAAAAATCCATTATTAGTGTAGTATATTATTATATCCCATGTAATTAGTATATTACTATATTAGTATATCGCTATTAACCTATTTTGCGTTGAATTTTCATCGATGTTATGCCTAACAAAAATTTTTAAAATAATAACCGTCGCTATTGTAGCGCCACATTACTAGCGGACATTTGAAATTTGCCGACTAGGACGGTCGGTTAACCGAGGGGTCCGTTGATCGGGGGGCGGGTAATCGAGGTTTTACTGTATACAATTTTCTTCAAATTGTAGTCCAACAAAACACTATGTAAAGCTTTTATTTACTCACATTTCGTAAATTTCATGTCTCAACGGAAAACTCTTCCTCATTGCATATGCTTCCATAAAAGTAAACAGGTTGTCATTCCAGAATACAAAGTTGTCTAAATCATTTCCAAGTTTCTTTTTAATAAATAATCGGCATATATTAAAGCGAATCTTTCTTTCTGTACTCTTTCAATTCCATTGTTTAATTTAATAAAGTTGTTGTTTTGTATTATATGTTTTGATATGATCTTCGCAGACTTTAAATTGGAATTCTACAAAATTATTTGGCATCATATAATATATAATATACAACAACTAATAGTAAGTTATACATTAATTTTAATATCATTTCCTCACTTACTTGCATAGTTTGCCATATAGTAGATGTACTGGCTACTCCACAAGAATATTCACCTGTTAGTATAGAATTTGCTAACTGATCGGAAGTGTTTGGAACTTTTTCAGTAAGACGATAAGTCATGAACGACATTAAAGTTCCGCTATAACTAGACCCTAGAATAACGATGGATAGCCACCATATTCCAATCATAAATCTGGATGGAAACCTTTTCATACAATCTAAATTTATTCCTGCATGTACAAAATTCTATAGTAAAGAAAAATCTGTTACGAATTACACAAAAATAACTGACCATACCTTGATATACGAAAGTTCGAAACAAATTCCAGAAAATTTTACTTCTTGGCCAAAATACTTCTATATCTTGTAATGCAAAGTCTCGTTCTAACACTTGGTGTAACGCTAGTCCGAACACAATGGCGGTTATAAACATAGCGATCCAAATCTAAAAAATTAAAATATTGCTATTATGATAAAATGTTTATAACTTAAATAACGATCACTTGCCATAAGTGAAAATGGAGCGACAATGGAACTCCAATTAGGAATATGTTCAGGTTTCTTCACAATGAACACAAGAGACTCGTATCCTAGCACTGCAGAAAACGTTGTCATTGAATAAAAATCGAAATCAATAAAGTTTGGAATAATTTCCATGTCTGCTTCCTAATAATTGAAAAATTAAGAATTATTGCATTACAGTAATATTAGAAAGTAAGTTTTTACAAAGAAATAAATATAAATTTTCTGAAAATAATTAATTTCTTGACTTAACTTAAATTTAACCTACAAACATACTCTTATTAACATCCACACATGAAGGTAAAAAGAATTGAAATTTTTTTTGCATTTTTCAATATTTCAAAATGTTGTAAGTCCAATAATGTAAAAATTTTGAAAGAACGATTTTGACCGATCTCAATACTTGTTTTCTGTTTTATAAAACAATCGAAATGTAAAACACAATTCTATAATAAAATATTTTTTAATGAGTTTTAAAACTTTTCTCATCGTCTACACGATGAACTTTACAGACATTCACATATATACGTATGCACAATTTGGTCTACATAACATTTCGAATAATATTAAGTTATAAATTCAATATTCGACACGTTAGATTAATCTTGTGTATTATTGTGTAGAAATTGGTATACAATGAATACAGGTTTTCTTTAAATAACATTTTTAATAGTTTGTTGTTTACGCTGTTAAGTACTCTTTCGATGACAGCGTACTTTAAAATGGCCTTAAGCAATAGGCAGTATTAATGTTAAGTAAAAACAGGCGATAAGCCTAAATTCTGCTTCGTATATAAAGAGGTTTGAAAGAGAAAGGTTTCACATTGAACAGATTTGTGTTATTAAATTTTGGTGTTTAAATGTTGCAGAGAAAAATTTCAAATTCGTTGCTGGTTTTTATAGTGTTATTTCAGTATTACATTTAACTTAATTGTATGAGAAACCTGAAAAATTTACATAAATATTTTATGTAATTTTTGATAAGTTTGTTAATTACATAATCGGTTTTAAAATACTCCAGAGTTAAAAAAATTCATTTCGTGCTTTGTAGAATCATACGTGATGTAAATCACTGTTTAATAGAAAAGAAACATAGAAGAAATTTAAAGAAAGTAACGTAAACTGTTGAATGCGGTTAATTATTAAGTGGTGTTTAGCAGATGCAAAAAATTCTAGGAATAAAAAGAAACAAAGAAAAAATGGAGTGACGCGAAGACAAGCTCATAAGAAGTACTTTTTTTAATCATATTTTTCAAGATTTGTTCATGCGAAATTGGAAAGGAGATCTCTAATGAAATTTAATTACAATATTAAAAATAATACAAATAGTAAATTTTAAAATGAATAACAAAAATAAAAACGAAGATGTTTTTACTTAAAAGTGAAATTGCGACACTATGCAAACAATTCAATTTGCTTTCGCATCGGGTTATATGATACCCAGTTTTGAGTGATCAAAACTAGCAACTATCAAGGATGTCTATCCAAATCATTTGCAACAATTCTATAAAGTTAGGTGTTATGCCCAGAAACCTCCAATGGAGTTTTATTAACTGTTCGATAGAGAACTGCACACCTAGCGTGAAGTCGTCGATATCACAATTCGACCACTAATTAATATCGGCTATTGTTTAGATAACTCTTTCTTCTATCTGTCGATGTCTCTTTCTTCGACAAATGTGACTAGGTGCCAGATCCATTAGTTGAGTGTCGCAATAACCCCAACCATTACTGTTTGCTTAAGCATCATATTCTAACAGCGGGCAACTCTGCTGCAGTTTTATTACACTCTAAATGTGAACTAGTACTTTACAAGAATTGTGGGTACGGTGGTTCAGCCACTGGTGCATGCCGCGCCTGATTCGGTTTTCCAGCAACTTCAAATGTTCCGCAAAAATCAAATATACAATTAATTAAACATTGTTGCGAAAGAAAAATAGATACAATGTAAAATAAATTTTTATTTTACAGGAAATGCTGTTGATTTTAAAAATTTTTACCACCCTTGCTTTAAAACTGGTGTATTGTAAGTGTTTCGCAAAAAAATATCAACTTTTTGTTGAGCCATATATGCATATATGCAATACATTAGATTCAGCCTGGCAAGAGTTATCACAGGGAAACATTAATTTTTTCATTGCTAGCATTGTTTGTCTTTTAACAGCATGTATAGCAGCGCATGTATAACTCATTCCTTTGTGAATAAACAGGTGTCTGATTCATATTTTTTGTTTTTTATTTTTAACTGTATGCATATGTATTTCTACTCCGCTGGTGCTGCAATGTGCACGTGGCTACGAACACCTCTTTTTACTGTTAGGATTTCACTTATAAAAAGTACAGTCGATCCCCCTATAACACGGTAGATACGTTCCGTTCTTTATGAATCAATTTTGTAGGAATCACAGCAGTAGGAATCGGCTATTTGAAAGGTTTTCTTCCATAAAATTAATCGATTCTAGAGTAATTTGACTCAAAATTTCCAAAATACGTATATTTTTTAAAAAAATTAATCCGTATAAACTACGCAATAAACAAAAACATTGTAGTATTACATACCGAATGTGCGCCGTTCGACTACGCCGTTGCTTAAGGTTTGTTTTCGTCGCGGAACAGCGCATCAAACCGCCACCGCGTATTCTGATGTTATTTTTCTGCGAAAACTTCGCTGAACTTTGGAGATATCATTAATATAAATAATTTTTATGGCCGTTGAATAAGAAATGTTTCTTTCACAAGAAATGTATAAAATTACAGTACTGTATTAAACTTACGGTACCTAATTTACATACTGTATAGACGATAGTTCGCCTAAACTCTCCGTAGAGTGGCGCTAGACGGCGGAAAGCATCTATATAATTATAATAAAGTTACAATAAATTAAGTTAATATATAATTATATATACAGTACCTAATTTATATATAATTAATATATAATTATAACTACAGTACCTAATTTATATATAATTCTATGTACAGACGAAACTAATCTCAATTTACCGCCTAAACATTTGTAGCGTGGAGCTACAGACGGCGGGAAAGTAGTTCGGCTGCCCGATGATGTTTTACGTAATTATAAGAGTTTTTTACCGTTGTGTACGGATATCGCCACAACTTTTTCGCCATCTTATAGGAATCGTGATTATAAAAACCAGTCTTATAGGGGGATCTACTGTATATATTAGCATTCCCTTCCTCTTATTTTTGCTTTCCTTCATTATGCTTTTGATAGTTTTTTAGCTTCTAGGGTGTTTTCTTCATAATTGACAGATTGCCAGCATTTTTAATCATTGTCATTGTATTGAAAGTTTGCGCAAAAGCGACGAACTATTGCATGTGCACCAAGATAGAAGAGGTAAAAAAGAACAAGGAAAAGTGCAACAAGTTGAAATTTGACGAAAAAGAAAACTGGCGATATTTCGCACGTTGTGTAAAAAAACTCCATATTCTCCTGTTTCTTAAGTTGTATCGTAAATTTCTACAGGTCTCTTTTGCCTAAGTTTTCTTTTTCTTGTGATTGCTTTAACGCAGCCATATATTGGATATGACGTTAAATACAAATTTTTTAGAGATTATAATTACAACTGTTCATTTTTTACTATAACATTGAAAATAAATTCAAACTAGCTTTTCCACAATATGTTAAAGTAAGTTTAAAATATTTTTAAACGGCCAATCTTTAACTAAAACGAAAGGATTTTTTGCACCAAATTCCAGAATGTGAGAACCAATACACTAGTTTGTTAGAATAAGAAGAAAGTTAACATGAAAAAGAAAACCATAGTGTAATATGTTAATGCATCTGTTTAATAATTAAATCACTTACCTGTCTTGTAATTTTTCCAAACATTTCTGTCCATGTTTCATTTTTGTGAAATTTTTTAAAGTAATCATCTACTGGCTTAGCCATGGAATAACTATTTGGATGCAAGTAATTATATTTTTGTTAAATATGAGTTATAAAAAATGTTATCGACTATTTTTCCTGATATATAGGGGAGAGTGTGACAAGATGAAAACGTTAAGGTTTCAGAAGTCATAAGATGGCAACTACTTTAATGACAACAATAATTTTTCTATTCTCTGCAACTACAAAGTAATATATAATATAAAATTTAGTTTTTTAAAAACGTTTTTAAAAAGAAAAAAAAATTGATATTTTAAAATTACATGTAAATGCACCATCTTGCTCCACCCATGGGGTAAGATGGGGATATTAATTTATTTAAAGAAGGACAAATTGAAATGGTTTAACTGTCGTTTTTTTCCATATTAACAAAAGAACAGTGTGCCCATTCAACACAACCGCTACATTTAACACAACATTCTTCAGATACAGAGTATAACCTTCCAAAATAAATGCATTCTGTGTCATTTGTCTTTTGTTTCTTAATTAAATTTCTTATGACTGCTGTTTATATATAAATATAAAGTCTCTGTAAATCCGCACGAAAAATATATAAATTTTCGGTTTAGCGGTAGACCATCACACAGCAGATAGCTAATTACTTCTCTTTATTTAATCACTGTATATGCATTTCGGTCCTATTAAAGAACCCTCTTCAGTACTACAAAATATAAATATTATAATAAACCTTATGCGAGTAAAACTACCAATGTAACAATTAATATTTTAGTTTTTCATTACCATTTAGGTACACAGCTTGGATTCACATTTCATTAGCACTTTCATATCAAGTGTATT